CATTGTAATTTCATTATAATTGAAATTGGAAGCTAAACTCGGATGTTAATAGGCTATTAAGTCATTAACTTATTCTTTAATTGATTCCACAAATTTGATAATACAAATAAATACCTTTTCAATAGTTTGATTCATTTTTGCGAAAAACCTTAACAATTTTGTTAAAAAATCAAAATGTTATAGGTTTTAATAGAATATTTCATTTCATTCATTTTTTGTATTTCGATACCCATCCATACTGAAAACAGTTTCTCTAAAGAATTTTCGACAATCGCTGTTCTGTAATCATCCATTGTTAACAGTCTGACTACTGATTGCTTTGCAAAAATGCATTAATTTGTTAGGATATATGAAAATAATGGATGATTATTCAATCAAACAAAACTATTTTCTTAAGGTTTAAGCATGATAATGACAGATGAGATTCAATGTATATTCCCAAATGATGTTCATGTTTTAAATGCTTGAGCTTGTGATCGTGTCGGATTCCATAAGATCTATAGTTTCGTAATGTTGAATTATATATTTTCCGCAATGGTCTTCTCTCGCATGTCATTAAGTGGTTTATTCAATGTGATTTAATAGTTTATACATCTTATTTGTATGTTAAAATTAATTGAAACTGTGATTAAATTAAAACTGTTGGTCACAGTTGAAACTTTCTCATATATTACTGATATATTATTACTATATATCATATTTTAAAGTTAATACTACATTCTTACATATTTTCATACATCTTGCCATTTATAACGAAATGGTAATCGAATGATACATTGAGGTTAAGTTGATACTAATATATAATTTGTTTTAGAGAATTTTTTTTAACTTAATTTCAAGAGTAAAATTCTGGACTTTGTTAAGTGTAGTTTTTCTTATATAAATATTTAAACAATATTATGAGAAAAAACATTTTTGGTATAAATTTTTAGGTGAGTCAAGTGTAGTCACTTTTATCGAATTGTATGCAATGATATGAAAACAAGTTTCTCTTATCGTTATCTTCATCAAATATGGCTATTACATTTTCATAAGCATATATATTTGAATATTATAAATAACTTTTTTTTATTTGAACCCCACTTTTTATGCTATAACATTCGAAACGTTTGTTTAGTTTTTCTGGTACAAGCACAGTCATTCATTGTTGAGACCTTATTTACTTAAGATAATTTTATTTTATAAAAGAAATATATTGATTTTACTGAAAGAAGGTTTTGTGCTTTTACTCAAATTTTCCTGGAAACAAGTGGATTTTGAAATTCGTTAATAAAAATAGTCTTAGAATTTTAAATATATATTGAAAATAATTAGAATTTATTTAGTGTTGGTCATTATATATGTCAAGTTTAGTTTTATTATTTACTTTATTATGAATAATCAATTTAAGTTGGTTTTACAATTGAGTCATTTTCGGTATGAATGTTTTTTAGGTTCTTTTTTATAATATATGGATTAAGTCATATTCAATTTAATACAAGCGCAATAGATCACTTTTAATGGAGATGAGAATATTTTCGTGAAAGAAACTATCTTTAAGTAGGTATTTAGGTGAACATAGATGAAAGATCGATTCCTCCCAATTATCGTTAAAAAAAGATTAGAAAAAAATATGTCGTTTGCGATACTTTGGTGTAACTATCACAGAAACGATAGTGTGTTAAGATCTTCATTAAGACTATAGTTTGTTTTCGTTGAGTTCTCAAGATTTCAAAGATATTTTTGTAGTTTTGTCGTCAGGAAAATTTGCCTAATTGTTTTTATATCTTTAATATATAAATATTTTACATATACAATCAAACTTCCATAACTCGAGGTACCATTTTGGAAAGAAAGAGTTCGACTTATGGAGACTTCGAGTTAGAGAAGAGACGTCGAGTTATTATTTTTTTTTATTTTTGTAAGAAACTAGAATTACATTTTAAAATATTTATGTATTTGAAATCAAATACAGCACGGAATTATAGTGAAGTATAATATTCAGAAATTAGGGTTTGGGATTTTAATTTCTTTTTCTTCTTTTCAGTGAAAAGAGTTTCCAATTTATTCCAAGCCTTATAGTAATCATCAGTTGGAGTATCATTCGTTTGTAAATAAAAATTCAGAATTTTGAATGAGTCTTCTATTTCATTTTTGGTAGGTCAATGAACAATTTTATCCACTGAACCCACATCACTTTCCGTTGCGCTTAGAATTGGATCCACGAATGCAGAGGATTATAGCTCAATAATATCGTATTCTGAAAGCTTGATGTACAAATTTCACTGTCAAGCTAAATATAATAGTTAAGAGTAGCATTGGAAGTTATTTTATTTACTTTAACCTACACTACCAGCGACTGGCGTTTACACAAAGAAGCTACATAAGAAAGAAAAAGTTGAAACATTTGGTTTAGAAAAAGGGACTTCCCCTAACACCAAAATGTATTCATACTTAAAACAAAAATTCGACTTATAGAAGGCACTGTCCCACATTTCTATTGGTACGTAACAATATTTTTAGTTCGAGTTGTAGAGAAATTGGAGTTATAGAAGTTCGAGTTATGGAAGCAGAATTATATGTAATTTGCTCTCTAAAACCCTGTTGCACTCTTTTTAGATTGAGTTATTCGAAACTCGAGTTATAGAAGTTCGAGTTATGGAAGTTTGACTGTATTTATATATAAGAAATATATCAACAAAACTTTAGCTACGAAACCCTAATGTTCAACAATGCAATGGAATTAATTAAATTTTACGCATAATTCACACAGTTTTGTTGAATTTGATTACAGAAAACTGTAACATTTTTTTGTAACTTTTTCTGTGTAACTGTGTCAATTATATAAAAATATTCAATTAATTTCAATGCGAAACATTTGAAATGTTCGTAAATAATGGAAACTTGAAATACGCACAATTACATCACAATAGATACAAAATTGTAATCGAAGTGAGAAAATAGCAACGCAAACGTTTTAATTACGAAAAATGTAAAATTTATTTGGCCATGACTTCGGTACCTTATCTGTTTTTTTTCCTAAACAGTAACTGAATAAATTTTTGCAATTTATTTGAAATTCAAATATAAGTTCATATATATGTTTCAATAAATAATCAATTAAATCAGAGAGAAACTGAGGAATTACTAAATATGTAAATATAAAGTTAGTTATATCACAAAAAATATATATGTATGGTATATAAATAATTATATGGAGAAGGCATTACTATATTTCGAAGCCTAATATTTTAAAAATTTTTTATATTAAATTGAAATTAAATTTTTATAAAGAGATTTTCTGAACAGTAGTGAACTACAACAACAAAAATTCTTTTTATATTATTTTAATTAATTAAATTCTTGACCATACAGCTGCTTCGAGTATTGCCAAATACCCATCATCAGTGGTCTTGGAATTATTATGAATTATTTTATATAATTAAATATAAGAAATAATTCGAAGACCACTAATGATTGGTATTTGGCATATTTAAAACAGCTGCATGGTCAACCAACAATTCAATCAATTAAAAAATAGATAAAAAAATTTGTTGTTGTGATTTAGTACTGTTTGAAACACCTCTCTATCAAAATTGTTTATAAAAAATTACTTAATTATTAATTTTTGTAGTTTTTTAAAATAAATATTATACATATGTTACATAGTGTGTGAGAACTATGGTATGTAAAAAGTTATTTGATGGATCACGATGTACTTGTCTGCGGAGTTAGAATATTGGCTGTGGAGGCGAATGAAACCTCTAGCCACATTCTTTTTGACTGCTTTTGATCTACGGAGATTAGTGGGTTGGGAGCTCTTGTCCTTTTCTGATGTTAGCATATTCTTAAGTGTTGTGATTTTGATCTCTATTTGTAGGGCAGATTGTCTTCTGTATATCTAAATTCATTTAGCAGCATAAAAGATCAGCCATCGTCGCAGTGATCCGCTTCGTTGACACAGTACCTCATTAATTTATCAGATAAAAATATTATGAATTTTGTAGTTTTATATATATAGAGCGCGTTTTACAAACTTCGAATACTTCTAGTATAAAATGTATGTAAATGTTTTGCAGATGAATTGAATATGGATATATTAGTACTCACATTAATTTGTTTAGTTCTTAACCTATAAGGTTTGTCATAGGCGGTAAAAACAGTTTTTATATGAGTGTGGATTTGTTTTAAGAAGCAAATATATAAAGAAAAGCCTGTACAATTTTGATCTAATGTGTAGAATAGTTCATTATTTATAATTAAAAGTGTATTTTTATCGGTTGATTCCTTAATAGTGGTACCTGATGTGTTTAATGTTGTAATTGATTATGACTTAAGTGTATTAAAAAATATATTTTCTTTATATTATTAATATTTTTATTGCTCATATTTTTTTTTTTTTTATTTTATTTTTATTTTTGCTGTTGTTGCTATTAGAATGAAGGTTCAAAATTGGAACCTAGGATTTTCATGTTTTTTATTGCACTTGTTTATCCCAATATTTATTCCAATATGTCAAAATACTTTTTATCTATTTTTCGCATCAATCAATCAAAACTATTTTTTGTTATGAATACATGATCTTTGTTATTATCATTGCAATATATTTTATATGTATAAGTGGATGTGAAAGCCGGATGAGAAAATTTATTATAGTATAATACATAATTTTAAAATTTAAACTAAAAAATAATATAAATGTGATCAATGCCTATCTTAATTACTTCACTGAATAAAAATGATTGTTTTAAATATAAACTACTATTGTTAAAACAATACTCATAGTTGAAAAATATTGTTTAATATATAAATGAATCTCAATCACACGCTACAAGTATATTATCTTCAACAAATTAGCAAAAATATGTTAATTATAAAAAGAAAAAAATCGTTATGCCGGCAAGAACAAAGTTACATCAATTTTGTCTATTATTTATACAACAAATAAACAGCAAGCATATATACTGTCTATACAAATATCTAAAATGTTTTTATTATTAATCATTTCTTTTTTATTTCAGGATTATAATGAACAGTGTCCTTATTCATTATCACCTGTAAGCACCAAAAGTCAAAAACTTTTACGATCTCCTAGAAAAGCCACCAGAAAAATCTCACGCATTCCGTTTAAGGTAATTAAAAAAAATTTTAAATCAATCAAAATTTTTATTAAACAATAGTTTTTGGTTTTTATAGGTCTTAGATGCCCCTGAGTTACAAGATGATTTTTATTTAAATCTTGTGGATTGGTCATCACAAAATGTACTTGCCGTAGGTTTGGGTAGTTGTGTATATTTATGGAGTGCCTGCACGAGTCAAGTATGTATATTTAATAATTGCTAATTATTTTGTTAGTTTTTATTTTATTTATTTGCGTCTACTGTTTGTTTCTTACTGTTATTTACATAATTGTTTGTATTTTAAATTTGCAGGTGACACGTCTATGTGACCTTAGCACAGATTCAAATACCGTAACTTCAGTATCTTGGAATGAACGTGGCAATTTAGTAGCAGTTGGCACACATCATGGTTACGTTACAGTTTGGGATGTCAGCGCTAGTAAACAGGTGAGTGATAAAAATATTTAAAAAAATATGTTAAAACTGTAGGTTTTTATTGTAGTTGTTATTGTTTTTAATATAATTGTCTCTACTTAAATGTTAAACTAAAATAACATAACAAAGTACGTGGATTAGTCATTTAGAATAAAGTAAATTTCAACAAAAATATATTTATATAAAGAGAATAGTATTAAAATCTAACAATTAAAAATAAATATAAATATAAATAAATAAATATAAATATAAATAATTAATTCAATTATTCTACAGCGGGTTTATGATTTCGTTCTAATATAAACACAGCAAGTGAATTTGTTAATAAAACTTTCACAGCGAATTAACAAAACTCCAGAAAAATGTGCGAACATAAAAGTCAAGTACGGCTTTGGGTCAGTTGGCAGGGCACGAATTTGATTCCTGATACTTGCAGTCTCAAAAAATTATTTACAAATAATTAAATACAAGAATTAGTTCCAAGACCACTGATGATGAGTATTTGGCAATACTCGAAACAGCTGTATGGTCTGCCAAAAGTTTAATTAATTAAAATAATATAAAAATGATTTTTTATTGTTGTAGTTCACTACTTTTCGCAAACCTCTTTATATACTCTATTATAAAAGCACCCATTATTAATTCTTTAGATATTACGCTAGTTAAACACTGTATGAATAGTTTAGAGTTGATTATCAGAGTACTATTAAGTACATTTTCATTTCTAAACTTCTTTGAGAAATATTTCTTTCTTAGTATGATCAAATATAAATAGACGATATATTAGAAGTGCTATTTTAGTATTAATCATTCAATAACTGTTTAATAATCAATGTCACAATTGTAAGATAGAAGAACAAAAATATAAAACCTATGAATTTTTGGTATATATTGTTAGTTGAGGTACGAAAGGGTTAATAAAAATGTTTTTCTTTTAAGATATATGAATTTAGTGTCTTCGGGAATATCTAATATTTTGACAAATAATCCTACCGGCTGTAGCAAAAGAGATTGAATATTTTTCCGGTCCGCACTATATTTTAGGTTGATAAACATTGCTCTAAAACATAATCTTATCATTTTTGTTCACAATAAATATTATTGTCTAAATCTGAAGACATTTCCAGTTTTCTTTCTTTTTATATTTTTAATAGTTTATTAATAAAATGACATTGCATTTTGTGTACGATATTTTCTATAAATTGGAGCCCTTGTTGAATTTTTTATATTTTTCACCTTAAAATATGCTTCAAAAAAAATTAACTTCCACTTAACATAAGTTCCACAAAACTCTTATCGTACTTTAAAGCAAGTTTTGAATTGCAATTAATTTCTATTACTTTTTCAGATCAATAGATTAAATGGACATTCCGCTCGGGTAGGTGCACTTGCCTGGAACGGTGATATACTGTCGAGCGGTTCGAGAGATCGTCTCATAATACAACGTGATACACGCACACCTACTCAGCAAAGCGAACGTAGATTATCTGGTCATCGGCAAGAAGTTTGTGGTTTAAAATGGTCACCAGATAATCAGTATTTAGCTAGCGGAGGAAATGATAATCGATTGTATGTATGGAATCAGCATTCACTTAATCCTGTGCAATCATATACAGAGCATATGGCTGCTGTGAAAGCTATAGCCTGGTCACCACATCATCATGGACTGCTCGCAAGTGGCGGTGGTACTGCAGATCGTTGTATACGCTTTTGGAATACACTTACCGGACAACCTATGCAATGTGTTGATACCGGTTCACAAGTATGCAATTTAGCCTGGTCTAAGCATTCATCTGAGTTAGTCTCGACACATGGTTACTCACAGAATCAAATACTTGTGTGGAAATATCCATCTCTAACACAAGTTGCCAAATTAACTGGTCATTCGTATCGAGTGTTATATTTAGCTTTGAGTCCAGATGGTGAAGCTATAGTTACGGGCGCTGGCGATGAGACATTACGTTTTTGGAACGTATTCAGTAAAGCACGTAGCCAAAAAGAAAATAAATCAGTGTTAAATTTATTTACAAATATAAGATAAAAAGATTTCATATTAGAAAACTTATTTACAAAATTGATAGTTTAACACTTGAAAAGATCGCGCTTAAATTTAACAATTATTTAATATAATAATTAATACATGATCATTTAACACAAACTTCATCAAAAATAAAACCAGCTAACAAATAACAATTAATCACGATTAAAAATAATTAAGTCAATAAATTAGACAAACTAATCCACAAATCCTTCTACCAAACTTAAGAGTTGCATAATTTTAATATAAATTTACATATATATTAATATTTAATGTTTATTGGTAAATGTAAAAATACTTAATTTAATAAGTAATATGTCAAATTTATATATATATATAGATACCATATAATAGCTATAAGAAGCAAACAAAAAACTATGTATGCATTTCAATGATTCTTAATAATTTTGGTTAATTATATTTTTAAGCTGATTTGAATAACAGAAATTTAATGAGCTTAAAATTAATACTCAAAATTTAATTGATTAAAAGTGAAATTAAAAATTATTTCAGAAATAATTAATTAGATTTTGGAAAACGATTGATATTTTTGAGTTCTGGGATAATTATTATGCAAACCATATATAAAGTCAATTTTCGTATTTTGGAATCAATAAGAAAATATAGATATAATTAAATAAAAATTTTAGAAATTTGTGGAAAAGATATAAGCACCTTGAAAATATTGAAAATAAATTAAATATTTTTGATGCGCTTATATTTAAAAAATGGTTTTAAATTAATTTCCTAAAAGTTTAAATAGTATGTTTTGGTAATAATATTAGATGAATTATTTGTCATTGTCATAATGAATTTTTGTACAATATTTTTGTCATAAGAAACTGCAAATTTGAGTATTTAAAACATGAATTTAACAAAATTACTTCAATTGTGTATATTTAAAAAATTCAAATTGATGTATAAATAATAATTTTTGTTTAGATATAATGTGGAATTAAGAATCATTGAAAAAAATGCATAATTAAATAAATTAAGAAAATTATTTTAAGAATTTTAACAAATTAAATGCGTGTTTGACGCTGGCGTGCAATCTATAAAAAAAATGAAATTTAATTAAGAATTGGAAGAAGTCTTAAAAAGTCAGCTAACGTTAAGCTAAAAATGTACTGAATATGTTAAAAATAGGAAAAAAAATTAAATTAACAATTTTACTAATTTGAAATTATGAATTAATAGAAAAACACGACTGAAAAAATTTGAAATTTCTTTCTTTATACCAACACATATTTTTTGTATTGTTTTTATGTAAAAGTACAACGATTTTGTTGAACTTATCACTTTATCCTGTAATTATATATTTTATGTTTAATGCTTTTAAATGAGCAGAGACTTCCATTATCTCTAACATTAATCAATATACATATATTTTTTTAGTAATTTTTATTTGTTTATATTTTTGATAATTTGTTAAATGATAAAACTTAAATTATATTTTTTTGCCGTTTATAAACTTTATATGTTAAATAATTGTTTATATATTTTGAAAATTATTTTTTTTTGGGCTTTTCCCTTACTAACAAGAAAATTCATGTAACAATTAATTTTACAGAAAGAAAGATACTAACATAAAACAAATAGACAAAATCATCTATGTACTTCAATGTATATAATTCCGAAATTAATTATATTCATTGATAAATTATATTTTTAAAAAGTATTTAAACTTAAAAACCATTGTAATTATATTTTATTGTGTATTTAAAATTGAAATAAAGATTTGAATTAAATTATATATGCTTTTAATTTTACACAACAGATAAAAAATAAACAAATTTATTATAACTTAAAAATGAAGGCAAATTTATAAATAAAAATAAAAACCAGTAGATTTATGTTATGCAGACAGTCATGGTCACTTCAAATATGAAATTATTGTTGCTTTTAATGAATATTTAAGATTTAAGAATGAAAGCAAGAGACAAATTTCGTTTAAACTTTGGTTACTGTCACGAGACTCTGCTTCGGTACGGTAGTCTAAACAGGATTGCTCAGTTATAAATGTGAGGCGCAAACTGCTTTTGAGTAGCTTAATTGATATGGGAAAACCGCTACAAAAAATAATACCTTTTAAATTTTGGCACAACCAAAATAATTATAAAAATAATAGTAACAGTAATTGTAACGAAATTGAAATTTATGATTTGTCTCTGGGTATAACATATCTTCATTGTCATGACTAGAAAGTTCGTGAAACTGCTCTTACCATTGGACCTTACCCAAAGTAAAGGATCTGCTTCAAGATTTTTATTAACAACAAAAATACAATGCAGTTTAGTGATATCCAGATCTTAGTATAGCCGTACTTCACATTCTTTTCCATAGTTCGTTCGGATGGATCTTGACCGTAGTCTCCCCGTAATGCGCTAAATGTATCTACTACAATATCACTATTTCTGTGAAATGGAAAATCTGTATTGTTAAGTGACAAATTCTAAATAAAGATATAATGACTAAAAAAAAAGGTTTTGTTTAATAGATATTCCTGAAATAGTGCAAATCCGGACCACGGATTGAATAACCATACAAAGAAAAAGTACGATAGATAATCTTAACTGAAAAAGAAATAAATAAATAGAAAAATTTCTATTCAAAAATAGATAAAATATCGGTGAGCACAATATATTTTACTTCAAAAGAAAAAAAAATGACTAAAAAATAAAAACCCGTTTCGTTACCTGTTAAAAGGAAACGGTTTACATTGTTCATTTAAGTGAATAGGTAAAGAGACTATAATAAAACAATGAAGGACATCCTTACTCACATTTATTTGAACTTATGTAAAAGTAAATATATGTGTACAATAAAATGGTAGAGTAAATTTCAGTAGAGGACAATAAAGTACATAATAAACCCAATTTTAGGTTTATTTTTGGCATGTAATGCGGCGTGCTTAGAGACCTTTCCTTATGAGGTGTATACGACTTATATATAGCAAAAGTTATACTATATAACATATCGTGACATAGAAGCATTCATAAGTATTGGAATTATATCTATAAACCAAATATTGCAGGAATATTAAAATTCATGTATTAAACATATAATTTTTTGAACGGTCAAAAAGTGGTGTGTGTCTCTTGGGACTGTAAAATCGTCATAGGTGAGAAAACATGGATAGTCTGTGTTATACATTTTACAGTATGGGCTAGTTAAAATAAAAGACAGGTGACATAACTTTCTTCGGATGTAAAGCACTGTAATGCGAGTAATCTTTTTTCATTTTAATCGAAGAAGGAAAAGACAGGCCTTGGAAAATTGTAAAATGTTAAGTTATACTCTACATAAAAATATGTTAAAATCATATATTAGGGTTAACACAATTATTGTAACGCATTGATGGAAACTTGGTAGACCCTATAAAGAATATATATGTAATTCTGATCAGATCGATTTGTTGAGTTCATTTAGCCATGCACATTTGTCTTCAATTCAAATGTCTCTTATGCCTCGTTTTCACTATGTCATTTTCTACGTCAAACATGGTCAGTATAATGAAAACTGGTAGTCATATGATGTCGTATTCGCATTCTTGTCTTGTAATGAAAACGTATTTGACACAACAATCAATTATAATTGTCATTTACCTAAAATGACATAGTGAAAACAAGGCATTAGTTTTTTGAGCTATTGGAATGTAATATTTTATATATACTTTTCATGAGTGGAGCTTACATTATTTATCGGATTTGCCGAAATTGGATTACTGCCACAAAAACTGAACTGGAGTTTCAGGAAGATGTTTTTCTTTAGTAAATCTTTATTTATTTTTCAATTTATTGATTTAAAATTTAGGTACCTGTTATAGAATATTTGTGCTAAAAATGAAGAGCTGAAGAGGTAATCAGCTGTTAGAATAAGATTGAATTTAAATTTCAAAATTCCTGGTTCGATTCCTGGTACTTCCAGTCTCAAAAGTAATTGTTAACGAATAATTAAATACAAGAATTATTTCCAAGACCACTGATGATGGGTAGTTGTCAATACTCGAAACAGCTGTATGGTCAGCCAAAAATTTAATGAATTAAAATAATATAAAAAAAAAAAATAAAATTTTTGTTATTGTATTTCATTACTGTTCGAAAAATGGAAATAAAAAATAAATTTATAAAAAAATCATATTTATGTGGGAAAGATTAAGTTCCTAGATTAGGTTCTGTACATAAGAAAGAATATATAAATCATGCAACAAATAAATTATTCTACAGCTGGTTTATGATTTCGTTTTAATAAAAACACAGCAAGTGAATTTGTTAATAAAAACTTTCACAGCAAATTAACAAAACTCCAGAAAAATGTGCGAACATAAAGGTCAACTACGGTTTTGGGTCAGTTGGTTAAGGTGCGCTGACTCTGAGCTTCAAATATGGCAGGGCACGAGTTTGATTCCTGATACTTGCAGTCTCAAAAAATTATTTACGAATACAAGAATCATTATTAAATACAAGAATTATTTCCAAGACCACTGATGATGAGTATTTGGCAATACTCGAAACAGCTGTATGGTCAGCCAATTCAATTAATTAAAATAATATAAATGAATATTTGTTGTTGTAGTTCACCACTGTTCGCAAAACCTCTTTATAGGAAATTAAAATATATTCTTAAATATAATATGGGTATTTATTTTTTGTCAGGAATGAAAACGATGGTTATGAAAGCAGGCTGAACTAAATAATGGGAAAAGGTATTAACCACAAAATGATCTAATGATTAGAGAAAAATAGTGCATGGGTGTGAAGAGTTGATTTTATTTTATATAAAGATTTCATAACACAAAAGTTGAAAATAAATATTTGCATTATTCAAAGCCAAGTTGAAATAAATTTTATTTTAATTAATTTCATTTCTAAGTAGCTACCCTCGTAGATTTAAATTACGCTTTGCTTTATATCTTATTAGAAGTATCTATTATAAAAAATAGGCTGACACATATATATCATATAACTTATTGCATTGATAAAGCAAAATTGGATTTACTAATATTGTATGCATTTTTTTTTTATATATATGTACATATTTATATTTTATTATGATAATTCCAGATTTTCACTCATAAGTTGTATCTCTTAATTTTGCTCTTTCACTCAAAACCCGACATTTGGAATTCATTCATATTATTAAATAAAATTGCTAAATTTGTGTGTTCGAGGTACTTGCCTTGTCAAAATTCACACAGTCAATTATTGTTTTCGAACTTATCTTGTGCGATATCAACGCAAAAATAAAATCGAAATCTATTGTGCTAATCGTCCATAACAATACCATATAGTATATATATAATATATATGTGTATGTATATATGCATTATAAATATATAATGCATATATTTTGTATATAGAAAATATTTTATGAATCTTTTAAGATACCGAAGACTGCTTCGCTTTGCTACCGTAAGAAATAATCAGGCAGAATTAGTTCAGGTAAGGCCAACATCGGGTTTGGTCTGAAGACGGAGTGCGTAGTTTTAACAAAGAGGTTTGTGCATTGAAATTTCTAAACAAAAGAATTGAGATCCAAAAATAAAATATTTTTTTTCAAAATACAAAGCAGTTTAGTGTGTTAAAAACTAGCCTTAGAATGAGTTGGTTTGCAGTTTTTAAGATTTTTGTTGTGCTCTTCACATTTTTGAATGTTGCAGCAGCTGACGACGACTTATTTCCACTTTCAATCATTCATATAAACGACTTTCATGCCAGGTATGTCAAAAGTGTTTATTTAAAATGAAATAAAAATTAAACAAAAAAATAAATATATAAAACAAAAATAACAAAAAATAAAATTTATTGATTGAGATTGAGTTCATAAAAATAATTCAAAGTAAAACCAGTTTGAACATGTTTTTTATATCAATCTTGTGTAATGTACAAAAACGTGACTTTAAAAATTTAATTAAATTAAAAAAAAAAATTATTTAAAATTAAAATAATTTTTTTTTTATTTACAAATGACAGTTATAGATTTGTGTATGACAAAAACTGTATTTGCTTTGTTATCTTAAGTTGAAAACTATATCTCAAAGTGATAGTAGTTCTCTGTCGGTAACTTGATCTTATCGTTTTAATATTATGTAAATATTGAGATACAATTCAAAATGCGACTAATGCAAATTTAAACAAAATAAAACGTGTGAAATATAAAAAAAATCATAACAAGTGCTGTTATTTTTTTTACTATATATGTATGTATATAACAACTACAGAATAATGAGTAACAAGCGTTTATTGTTGTTTTTATTAATTTTTTTTAATTATTTTATATAGTTTGAACTTAAGCGTGTTATTATATTATTTGTTTAAAAACGTGGAGTAATAATATTTTCTACAAAATATTTACGTTTTTTATGGTAATATAATTGTTTTGTTATATTGTGTTATATAAATTTATAAAAACAATATATATTGTTCATTAAAATTATTTAGAATTCTGTTTCAAAAAGGGGGTGGTTAACAAAAATATTTAAATACAAAAATTAAATTTTAATTAGATGATTTTTTTAAAGAAATTTAATTAAATTTTTTTTTTTGAATGGTTTTATTTATTACTCCTTTTTTAAATCTATATTTTTTTAAGTTTTTTTAAATCATAATATATTTATATATATAAATTATTATATAATATTTTTGGCCACAAATAAAATAAATAAATTATTAATAAATAATAATAATAAATTATTAATATAAATAAATATTATATAATATTTTTGGTCACAAATAAAAGAATAAAATATTTTTTTTAAATCTTTTTTTTTTTGTTTTCTTAAGTCTTTATTTTTTTTTTTTTTTTATTTTTTATATTATTTTTATATATTTTTTATATTATTTATATATTTTTTTATATTATTTTTATATTTTTTTTATATTATTTTTATATTTTTATTTATTTTTTAAATCTTTCCTTTACTTATTCCTTTTATACTTTTTAAAATTGTAAATGTGTGCTTTATCTTTATGTGAGGTATTCACGATCTCGCGTAACGAGTTTAATAAGGGCTACTTTATGCAGACGATTAAATAATCGTCGATCACCACTTTTCAATATAAGTTAAAAAATTGAAAATAATAAACAAGTGTGGTAAATGATGATTTCTTGATGATCTGTTTAACATATGCCCCTAACCCACTAACTTAATGCCAATGCAAAGCGGTAACAACAAAATATATTTCTGGAATAGATATTCTAATATTCTAATATCGAATATATAGAATTTTATAAAATATAGATTTTAATGTAATATTAACTTAATATGCTTACTAATGAAGTTATTTATTTGCTTCTAAAAAAACATTATTGTTTAAGTATTTTTAGAATGTCTTTCCTTAAGATATTCCTAAGTGCACTCCAGTACTCCTTCCACTCCAGTTCTCTCGTCCTGACTCAGACTACAGTCAGATGGTTTCAAAGTATGTGACATGAAATTTCAACCTCTTTTTTTGGAGAGGTGTAATATTTTGCCTTGTCATACTGATTTGTCTTGTGATAATAAAGCAGTTTGAGATACTCTACTCCTGACTCAGACCACATCCAGATGGTTTCAAAGTATGTTATATGAAATGTCGTCCTCTTTTTTGGAGAGATACAATTTTCTACAACGTCATACTGATTTGTCTTAGAGTGATAGCAGTCCTAATTCTCTTCTGCTGCGAAAGAGTGGATCTTTATAATACAATGACCAAACCAACTCTTTAGTTTGGTGGTTATGTGAAATTTTGCGTTAATACCAATTTCATTCGATATTTATATAATCGGTAAACAGAATCTTAATTGTAAATTAACTAATATCACAAAAAGGCTCAGATATATAGAATAATGTAGTTCAGCTGAATCTCTTGCAATATTATCTGCAACTTAACTTATATTAATGTCAGTATGACTAAGTACTCTATTTGTAATTTAATAAAACTTTATTTAAAAATGTACATTGTGTAATTTATACATACCAGTTAGAAAATAAATTTACCTTTGTTTAGTAGAAATAATTTTATGTATATATATCTACACAATAAGTTTTATACTTTGTAGTTTTAATGTTCTTACACTCAATTGAAATAGTTGATATATATAAATGTTGAAGAATGAATGTTCAATCTATCTTTGTTAAATTTAATTTTATGCATAAATTGAAAACCAGAAACTAGTTGCCTGACCTTAATTTTTTCCATCAGCTGTGGTTAAAATCTTTTATTATTAAATTTTTTTATTAATTTAAAAATTTTTTTAATTAATTATTTAATTTAACAATATGCTTGCAGCAAAAATAATGAGATATCAAAAATAATATTTAGTACATATATTTTGTAAATATAGCCAATCTAATTATACGAGCTTATCTACCATATAAATATAAATCTGCATATAAATATATCTGCATATAAATATATCTGCATATATATTGCATACTTGCTAGTATATTCAATATAAAGTAAATGCATTTCAAATTTTTCAAGCAAAATAAAAATAAAATATATACACTTTGTAGATAATTTCATCCAGATTAGCTTAGATTCGACACCCACATACGAGTATATATTGTAATATTAGTATAACTCTGTTCAATTAAAAGTTTGATTGGAGAACTTTTTTATATTGTACTTTTATTCTTTTAACTATGAGATTTTAAATAAAAATATATAAATATATAAATACAAATTTTAAATAAAATACATTTTTTCCAAATTATGAATCACAAAGTTAGCAATAATTAGGTTTCATTAAGTAGGTCTTTTGCTTAATTTATTAGAATTGTGTTTGCTTAATTTCATGGAATTGTGTTTTAATTGTGATTCACTGGTTCAAGACCACAGTATTCAGCATATCCAGAATAAGCTTGACCAAATCTGTTGTTCATCATAATCCAAGAAGGTTTATAATAGTTACAGGCTGTTAATAAGTTTGCTTTATAATAACGTGTTTACCATCCCTTAGTGTGTTACCATCAGAGTATCAAGTTAATTCATTTATTTATGTTAATTTAAGGATTAAAATAATTAGTTTTAATGTTATTTTCGGATTTAAGAAAATATATATAGAAACTCTTCATATAGTGAAATTTCAACGATGAAATACAAATTATATATGCATCACTCTAGTAGGAATTATATATTGATTATAATGTACATATTGCATACACGAAATACTTTATATAATACAAGGGCTGTTTTTGATAAGTCAGTGACTTCTTGAATTTCCCGCGCAGTTACTCCAAACTACGTCGTTTAGTTGGTGTTTGATAGCCGTTCAAAGCAGACAACCTCGTAAATTTTTACGAAAATGGAAAAAAGTGAATTTCGTGTGCTGATTAAGCATTACTGGCCAAAATCCACGAATTGGGATATAAACTGCTACCCCATTCAGCATATTCTCCAGATTTAGCCCCCTGCGACTATTTTCTGTTTCCAAACCTAAAGAAATGGCTGGGCGGTAAGAGATTTGAGTCGAATGAAAAAGTCATTACCGAAACAAACGCGTATTTTGAGAACTTTGAGAAAACCTATTATTTGGAGGGAATAAGAAAATTAGAAAAACGCTAGACTAAATGTATCGAGCTAAAAGGTGATTACGTAGAAAAATAAAATATTTGCCGAAAAAAATTTGCTTTATTCAAAAAGTCACTGACTTAACAAACTGCCCTCGTATATTACTAATTGTAATATATACCTATATAATACTGATTGTAATGAATATTTCTGACTGTTAGTTTGTAAAGTTATTCGACGATGTCATTTGCTAACAATTCACAGTCTTAATAGTAAACTGCAACTTTTTTGAATATTTAAGTAGTGTTATACGATCCTAACCGATATCTTTTTATTATTACTCTATATGTAATGCTCTTAATTAAAAAGAAGGCATAACGGCAAGTGCATTGATTAGTGTCACTTACAAATACAGTAGCAAAAAAAAACTTGGAACTTGAGCTTTGAAAGTTTGTACTACCTTCTCTACTTGTGAAAAAATACATTAATCATCGTTTCTAATTTGACAGGCACGAGTTTCAAGACTGACACTTGTAGTTCAATAAATTATATACGGATAAAAACTAATTAAATAAAAAAAAATTCGAATATATCCTAAGATCACTGATGATGAGTACTTGGCAATATTCGAAACAGCTCTGTATAGTTAAACAAATTTGAATCAATTAATCAAATTTCTATTGTTGTTTCTTCATTACTGTTTGAACCCGTCTTAAAAATATATATTTGAAAGCTTTAGTTTTAAAATTGAAAAAAATAATATTAGAAAAGTCTTTCTATCACAAATATGTCAAATTGTAAGTTCAATTTATTTTTTATATATTAGATTTATGATTTATTCTAATTTACTAAAAATTATATATCACAGACCCGCGAATCTAATTTTTATACAGTAAGATATTTCTATTTTTTAGTGTATTATTATGGATTATTATGATTATTTATGGAATTCATATAGACTATTCATATAAACTATTCATATAGACTATTGAAAAATAAAATATTCATCATTTCGTCATTTTTTCATTATCACAAGGCAATCTACTAATTGTACATTAATAAATATTTCACTCAGGCATATATTCTAGGTACTTAATGATAACTTTAATATTAGAAATCAAGACACAATAATAATTAATAACAATATTAGTTATAGATATACAATTTTTTTATTAAATTAACTAGTTTCGCAATTATTCATTATAACAAATGAACTGAGTATATTAAATTTATAGGTTAAGTTCCTGATTGTAAAAGCCACAGTACACATGCAGATAAAATTAATTAAAAATTTGTTAAAATGGAAACTAACGACTATAATAACAATAAATTAAAACACAAGTGTGAAATTTAATATATTATAGATTGATAGCTTTGAATCTATATAATATGCGAATGCTACTTTAGTTGATTTCTGATTAATTTTTCCATGAATTAAATTATTATTGAAATTGCGATAAGATATTGATTAAATTTTATAGTTAAGTAAGTAATTGAAAAATATTTAAGTTTTTGTATTGAATTATTATTTTGCTTAGCCATATGGTAAATTTATAATGAGAGTATGCATATATTCTTAAATGGATCTTTAATTGAATTAATGGTTTCAAAACTATTATAATACATATTACTCGACAATGGTTTCTGGCTGGTTTTAGTTCCACCTTCTTCTATCTATTATTACAAAGAATTGTGGATTCAAAACGGCTTTCTAGCTAATTCAGAAGGATTTGTTCCTACCTCCACTTCAACTTATTAAGCTGAAATTCCGGTACATTTATCTTGTTGCCTACCTATGTTCTGTGGTCAAGGGATTAACAAAAGAAATCACAAAAGAAATATTAAATTTAAAAAATTTAATTAAATTAATTAAAAAATAAATAACCGCCACTAGTGGCGTATTCAAGAGGGTACAAGGAGATAAATCCTTTCTTGCTAATATATAATTTAATCTAAATATGAAAAAAAACTATACAATTTTGATATACATATTTTTGTGTATATATTTTGGTTTTAATATTAACTTGATGTTTTGATAACGAAATATTTGAAATTTAGAAATAATGGAAAAAATATATTATTAGAATTAATTTTAGTGTTTGAGAAAAGGATGAATTCACTAAAGCTCTTCAATTAAGAATATTTCTTTTATCCTATACTAATTTATATTCCTATGAAAGTGTATGTAAAATTGTTAAAACTGTTTGGCACAATCTTTTTATTCTGATTTCTGGTCTTCTTATTTATTAGGTTAGGATATACCGACGATTCTAAGGGATCCATTTAGGCCTGTGGGCCTATTGTGTTACCGTATAATTAAAAAGTCAAGGGTTAGAACCACTTCGAACTTTTGGCAAAGCTTATAATGCTATTCATCTTGCAGTTGGCCAAGAACCTAAAGTGATAAGACCCGCCTTGCATTTGTTGGACAGAAGCAAAGCAGATGGAAGGCACTTTCATCGTCCTCTCCACAATTGCAGCAGGTATAGTTGAAAGGAAGATTTAGTCGCCTAGCATGGCTACCTAAAATACAATTTATAATTTATAAAGTAAACTACAAAAAACATCGACTTAAATATTATGTAGTTAAACCCTTTCAAATACGATGTGTGACACAATGTGAATCCATATTCAATAAGTAAATGGAAAGTTTAATTTGTAGAAAATTTTTTAGTCAATTATTCTATACAAATTAATTTATACATATATATGTATAATGTTGTATGATTACCCATTTGATTTATAAATACAGAAGAACAAAAGAAGTAGATTATTGTAGTGAATAAGCTTATTGTAAGAGAGGTTTTCAATATTGGTTTTAATCATTTTTTCTATGATTATGGTTGTACTAGAATAAAAAAATCTGTTTTCCTATTAAACGACTGAAATTTTTTGTTTTAAGATGAGACTTATGTCAACCAAATCTGTTTTTAAGAAAAACAAAAGTTTTTATAGAGTATAAATCAAAAGATTAGAAATATGGAGGGAAACACAGTAGAATAATTATTAAGCGTTATCTGCATGACCACAACAGGTAAACTTTTTTAGATGATATTACTGGTTTTCATACACAAAGGAAATGTAACACAACTTTGCATTCAATAAAGTATATATTATATATATTATGAAAAATAAGACTATATCTTTGATCAGTAAAAATTTGCAGTTTTGGAAGTTATTCAATTTTTGGATGTAGGTAAATCTAACATGGTTGCATATCGGTGAAATGAAAAGTCGTTGTAAAAATATTTTAATACTCTACCTAAAGGAACCTAAAGATACAAACTACTCCAAACTCTTACTTGACCTCTATGATTTAGCTGTAGATTGGTTTTGATTTAGGGCCGCACATGTGTGACCTATAAGCCACACAACTATGTGTTTTATAGATGGTTTTACGTATTACAAGAAATTTAAAAGACATTTTAAAATATGTTTAGTTTACAGTGCCAAAACAGTGGGTAGAAGAGATTAATTTAATTTTTAATAGGAGTATGGTATGCAATAGTGTACAATTGCTTGAAACTCTTTGAAATTTTTACCCAATTTTTACACATATATACATATATATATATGTCACCATTTTGAGTACAAAATAAAAAGAAAAAGGTACTTGAAATACTCGTACTATTGACAGTTTTATCAACGATTAAAATTTTGATTATATTTGGCATTTTAATTATCTTAGATACAAAAATTGAGATACATGTAATCTAAAGTACTGGCGACATGTAAATTATACCAAGTAATGCTTGTAAATTGTTTTAATATAATTTTAATTTTTTTTTTATATTCTTGTTTCTCATAAGTACATCAGATATTTTAATAAATAACGAATAATATTACATCTATAATTTTAATTTGTAATTAAATCCAAAGATCCACTTTAGATTAGTTTTAAAAGAACTTATCAAATTGATAGAATATTTTAAGAATGCTTAACTCGTGCTCATGACATGATATGGACACTTCAAAGATACTGTATATGGACATATGTGATTTCGTTGTTTAGTATTTTATAATCACTGATAGCAGCAGGTGATATAATTAAAATAAAATTAATGAATGAAATAAAAAATGATGAGGCAATATTATTACACACAAAACATTTAACTTATATTTTTAATTAAAGATAATTAATAATAGTTAAAAGTATATAACTTTGATAGAGTAATATAAGTAGATATCGAATAATATAGTTAATAAATCAATGAATATATGAAGCACTACGAATATTACCAACCATGGATATCATGGTTGGTAAGTATTCGTAGTGCTTAAGCATGACATCCATGGTTGGTAAGTATTCGTAGTGCTTCATATATTCATTGATTATATGAAGCACTATTAATTATATCAGCTTCATATATTATATCAGCTTCATATAATCCATATAATTGTGGCCCTTTGGTCCTCATAGGATCTGCGGAGACTAATATATATATAATCCCAACATCATACTGTTTACATATATATTTGACATTTTATTTATATTAATTTTTATTATTTATCTAAATCTGACTGCCACCTTTAAGCTCCTTTGTTTAATTGTTAATTTTTGGTAGAAGTTCGTTATAGATTTTGGAATACATTTTTCTTACACAAGATAACGAGGGTAAAGCTACTGTATAGAAAATTTCAGCAAAGTGACTTTTTATTGATGGTTTTTCTCTGTACTTGCCACGTCATAAAAGATATATTTATATAGATTATAAAAAATAAAAAATGTAAATTAACAAAATGAAAGTGTGATATCAATTTTGATTTATAATTATCATCAACATTTTTCATTAAAATTTAAAGGTTTAACCGATTAATTTACCACGCCAAAGTATTTTAAGTTCATTCAAATAACCTTGATAATAACATATAGGTATGATTCATTATTTATTCATTTATAATAATTTAAGATATAGTATTATATTGCTAATGTTTTTAATATCTTATATTTATTTATTGGCATGAAAGTACAATTTATAGTCTATTTATTTTTATTTAAGTTAAATTATATTACTTGTTTTTGAAATATATAAAGGTGGTATTGATCCTTTTTCGCTATTTAGTTTATGCTGTATATCCTATTTAAAAAGTATGCGGAATATGTTAATAATAGAAATTGTATTTGAGATATTTAAAAAATTTTTTTAATCAATAGTTAAATAATTAATTTTTTAAACAATATAAATATATTATATTCAAAACCATTCAAAAGCATTATCTTTTGTCGAAAAATATTTTTTTGGTTAATGAATTAATTATATCTTTGGCATAGTTTTGGGTAATCACTCTTTGAAGATATATTCATATACTCATGAATCGTTCTATGTAAAAAAACACTGCATTAATATACTTTTCTAAAGAAGAGTGATAAATTGGAAGTTTTGTAAATTTGTAAACAGTATCATTGCATGATTTACTACAACAGCAGTTCCAAAGAAATTAAGCAGCAGATGGCGCTACAAATTTACATTGCAGTCGTAAATAGTATTATAAATGGTAAACAATAATTAGTTCATCCATTTGCAGCTGGTTCAAATTATAAACTTTAAAAATATTTTAGACAAAATATATTTGTAAAATAATTATTTTATAATTTCAAAATTGTTCAATACTAACCGGGCTTAGAACCGCTATATAAGAGTTTTGTTTAAGTTTTAATTATAAATAATACTTTTAATAACTTTTAATACTTTTAATAGTTGCTCATAATTCAACTAGTAATAAGAAAATATAAATTTCTTAAATATACGAATAATATTTCTAATCATATATATGTTATGACTGTCACGTTCTATACAGAATTTATTAAGAATTTTTGCGTGGTTTCAGAAAATAATTATTTATTATTCGCCGAAATCTAATCTTATACCATAAATATTAAAAAATGAGGAAATGTAAATAATAATTAATGGAATTTATTTTTTTTGTTCCAATATTATAGATTACTTAGTGCATTTACACTATGTTAAAACTTTGATTTATATATTACAGATATGAACAAACTGATACGACCGGTGGTGATTGTGAAGCTGGAGAAGTATGTGTTGGAGGTTATGCACGAACAGTGTACACTGTAAGAAAATTACTAAGAGAGCAGAAAGACTACAATCCAGTTTATTTTAATGCTGGTGATAGTTTTCAAGGCACACTTTGGTATAATATAGGACGTTGGAATGTAACTAGTCAATTTTTGAATATACTGCCAGCTGATGCGATGGTAAGTGGATCTTTACTTTTTGAGACATGTTCTATATTTTATATTTTTTATAGACCTTGGGTAATCATGAATTTGATCATGGTGTCGAAGGTGTTGTACCATTTTTGGAGGCCTTAAATACAACAATGCTGGTAGCAAATATGAATTCAACATTTGAACCAACTTTAAATGGAAAATATCAGAACTCTATGATTATAGAGAAAAGCAATCGAAAAATTGGTGTAATTGGCGTTATATTGGAAACCACTTATGTAAGTAGCTCACATATATCGTAAAGATAAGAAAGGGAATATTTTTTCTATCAAATCTCTTTGCTTATCATAAAACTACTAAGTCTATTATATTAGACACCACTTAATGTTTTATTATAATTAATTTTGGTATAAAAAAAATTATATAATTTTATTATTACATTTTATTAATTAATGATTAAATTAATAATTTTAATAATTTTGACTTAAATTTCTCGAAACATTATTAGGACTTGGCTAATACTGGAAAACTAATATTCCGTAATGAGAGTGACACCATACGTGAAGAAGCCGAGAAACTGAAGGCACAAGGAGCGAATATTATAATCGTCATTTCTCATTGCGGCTATGATGTGGATCAGTTAATCGCTAAACATGCTGGTGCCGATATTGATGTTATTGTTGGTGCTCACTCACACACATTTCTTTATACCGGTGATGTTTTACCCGGGCCAGATAAACCACGTGGACCTTATCCAACAGAAGTTATACATGAGAGCGGGCATCGCGTATTAATTGTGCAAGCTTCAGCCTATGCCAGATACGTTGGCAACTTAACAGTATTTTTCGATGATAAAGGCGATGTTATACGTCACGAGGGTCAACCAATTTATATGAATGCTGACGTACCAGAAGGTAAGTGTCTACTAATTAACATTGGTGTGGTCTAATAATTCATTTTAATTTTAAGTTATCAAAATATAAATTTAAATGAATACTAAAGTCATAAATAAAAAAAATAAGCTGGTTTATAATACAACGTCACTAAGAATGAGTGTGTAATATACTCGTATATATGCTCTAAAGATTATTTAATAGGCTCATATGATATGTTATCATTATTGTTTTTATAGACTAAATACCAGGTCTATAAGAGATTATACTGTTTTTTTTTATGCGTGTGTGTGTAAATTTTTCAATATCTTTATATTTTAAAATACTTTTTTATGCATAATATTATCTATATAATTGTGTGTGATATAATCTGTTTATATTTAACTGTGAAAAAGTATCTTCGAGTTGCAACTCTACTTTTTTTGATACAACACTTGGGTATTTACATATAATAGTTTAAAAATTTTATTTGACTTTTGTTCATCCTTAGATGAGGAAGTCAAAGCAGCTCTTATACCTTGGAAAGAAGTAATCGATGTGCAGGGTAATGTCATTGTTGGTGAAACGAGAGTAAACCTGTTAAAGGGACCCTGCAGTTCACGTGAATGTAATTTGGGAAATTTCTTCTGTGATGCTATGATTCATGGGGTAAGAATTTTATTTTAATATGTAATATTATATATTATGTATATTTGTATGTATTATAGTTATCCATATTTATTAAAATATGAGCTCATAGATATATAAAAAATGCTTCTTCATTCTTATACAGTTTGCAGGTTTAGCACCATATAACCAAAATGCTTGGACAACTGTTGCTATTGGTTTGGTGAATACTGGAGCATTACGTGTACCACTTTATAAAGGCAGTAAGTATTCACTTCTCAATAATAAATGTTATATTAAAAATAGTTATATTAAATTATGTTAATTGTTATTATAGATCTTACCTACTCAAATCTTGTTACCATGTCACCATTTGAAAATACACTAACTGCGTTCAATTTAACGGGTGAAAAATTACTGGAAGCTTTAGAATTCAGTGTACGATCTGTGGATGTAAATAACAATATCACCAGTTCCAGTATTTTTCTACAAGTTTCTGGTTTGAAAGTAACGTATGATTTTGCTAAGCCCCCCAATTCAAGAGTCATCGATATCAGAGTTCGATGTGCCAACTGTGCAATTCCAAGATATGAAAAATTCGATTCAAAAGCTGAATATAGAATTGTAGCACCAGATTTCTTAGCAAACGGTGGTGATGGTTATGCCGTGTTTAGAGACGCTGGTACAGATTACCAGTAAGTTTCAATTAAATTACTACATATTTAAATTTTTAATTTTAAAGAAGTCTAGAAAGTTCTATATGTGTGTGCTTAATATAATAATACCTTAAATTTCTATAGTTACGAAGAGAAATAACAGTTATTTTATATATATAACTTTTTTTTACGTACACACTGATATAGATAATAATATATGTATTTATATAATTCTCCGTACTAATTTCAGAAAAGAAATGACTGACTTGGATGCTCTATTAGGTTATACCAAAGATACAAATCCAATTTATACTGGTATCGAAGGACGTATTACTGTTTTGAATGGTGGAAACAACAACGATGATAACTTGTTTAGAAAGAGAAGATTTATGTAAAAGAAATTATTTATTTATTTTTATAAAATACTTTACTATGAGATTGTGTGTCTAATATCTATGATTTGAGATTGTGTTCCTAAATATTTATATTTAATAAATATTTACAAAAAAAAATTTAAAGTCTTTTAATTTTTATAGTACTCGATTTACCAGTGAGTTTCTGGATTATATTATATAAAAAAATTTTTACTTTACCCACTAAAAATTTATTATTAATGTTTATTTAATAATTAACAAAAAAATTGATGAATTCTCAATTCCAGAAATCCCTAAAAGTATACAACAAATAAGATAAGATTTTTAGAGGAAGGAAGAACGTTGTTAAATGCATAGAAAGATTTTTTTAAATATTGTAAAGATAATTAATAATAGAATTATAATTAACAATTATAAAATAATTAATAATTAATTATCTTGGACTCAATCTATAATAATTTTAATTATAGATAGCGAAGTCTTACAGATGAAAGCTGCTTGGAGAGATACTATTGAAACTGGAGGAAGTGTTGTTTATGGCGAGACTAAAGTGGATTTATTAAATACCTATTGTGGTTCCAAAGAATGTAATGTTGGTAATTTCTACTGTGATGCAATATTTCAAACTGTAAGTAGTTTAGAATATATTTCTATACTTTTTTAATTAAGGGGTTAAGAAGTTTATTATAAGCAACCTCTAATATTTCTTAATTAAATCTATAAATTTATAAGATATAAGAAAAAGATAATCAGTAAAAAAAAGAGATCAGTATAATTATGTATTTATTTCAAACTCATTTTTTTAGTTCTTAGAGTTGGTACCCTACAATGCAACTGGCTGGTCCAACGTTTCCATAGCATTAGCTTCCAATAACGATTTGCATATATCAATACCACGCGGAAGTAATAAGATCATATAGGTTAAAAATTATTGTTTTTTATTTCATTTTTTTTATTGTAGATATAACTTACGGTCAACTTTTTTCTTTGTGTCCTTATGAAAATAACCTTATAGCTTTCAATTTAAGTGGTCAACATTTAATTGAAGCTCTAGAATATGGTGTTAGTTTAATAGATTTGTCGAATAATGTAACAACCACCAATAATTTTCTACAATTCAGTGGCCTCAAAGTAAGATTTAATTTAACAGCACCCAGTGGTCAACGTGTAGTTGGAGTTCGTGTGCGCTGTGCATCTTGCTCGGTACCGAAATATGTATCCCTGAAAATGAATAAATCGTATCGTATAATAGCTCCAAGTTATATTGCCGGTGGTGGTTGGGGCTTCACTATGTTAAAAGAATTTGGAACTGATCGATTGTAAGTATATTTTCTCTATAATATAATTTTCATTTCAATACCAAAATGATTATTATTAATGATATCGAATGTAAAACTCTAGATTCCTAACGGAATATAATATTTATAATATTGTTTTTTAATAATATATTTGATATAAGTTTTATAATATGTTATTACTATGATAATAGTTTATTTATATGTTTATATTGATTATATTTTATTTAGTAAATAAAATGTAATTTGTTTTTTAGGGAATATAAAACTGAATTAGAAGCTCTAATGGATTATGTTACTTCAGTTAAGCCTATAACAACTGGTATAGAGGGCCGTATACGTTTATTATGAAGAAAATATAAGGAAAAACACAAATTTTTATTTTGAACAAAAATTATCATCATATTGTAATTATATATATAATAAATATAAATAATAAATAAATTATACATATTTTTTAATAAATAATAAATAAATAATAAGTTATAATAATTTGCAATTTAATTTCTTTTAATTTTAAATGTTTCATTAATTTTATTAATAATTTTAAAGTTAATTATTTTTGCCGAAAGCTACATTTCTTATGACGACAAAGTAGTTATTTTTTTAATTTTTTTTAAGTTGGAAAGAGACAAATAAAAATGAAAAGACAAGAACAAAAATTCAGTTAATTTATTGAAATTTGGCTGACCATACTGTTACGATTATTGTTAAGTACTCATCGTTAGTAGTCGATGAGTAATATCCGAATTTATTTTATAATCTGTATATTAGTTTATAGTCCGTATATAATTTGTTTGGACTGCAAGTGTAAGGCTTAGAACTCCTGCCTGTCAAATTAAAAGCGATGACTAATCGTGTTTTATTATTTTATAATATATTAACAATATTATATATTGCCATTACCTATTCTGATGCATCAATGTGACTACGTATATAACAGTGTATGCTTATAAACAATGCTTATCGACAAGCACTACGTAATTACACAAACAACTTTTATTTAGATGTGGGCTCTTAAATAGTAATAATAGTAAGGTCATTAGTGTATAATAGCAATTGATCCATTGATTATAAGATCTTTCTATAAAATTGCCTTACTAAATTGTTCCATTATATAAAAAATATTAATTATAGTTGAATGTAATTATTTTTTTTATTTATATCTGCATTTAAGATGTTTGATAATGAATAATACGTGATTTTAATGTATAATTATTGTATACTACATATATATAAATAATAATAATAATTTGCTGAAGTTTCTATAAGATGTAAAAATTAGATCAATATTTTGGATTTTGCTTTTAATATTTTATAGCAAATTTTAAATATAATAAATAATTTTGTTTTTACAACATTTTTATAAGACGTTTAATTCATACTCCAGGAAAAATGAAAACTCATCAAAATTTAAAATTATATACACATTACTTATTATAGTAAAGGATTAAAGTAATGAAAAATTAAATTTAATTGTCATTATAGATGAAGAAGTCCTTTTAGCCTTACTCCCTTGGCAGCAGTTGCTCAATGAATATCAAAATAAAGTCGTAGGAACCAGCCGGGTTTTCTTGCAACAACAGGAATGTGGAAGTGGTGAATGTAATTTGGGAAATTTCTATACAGATGCCATGCTGCATGCTGTAAGTACTTTAGTCATATAATGAAATCCTCATTTTATGTGAAATTTCCATAGTTCATCAAGAAATCACCTTACAATTCCAAAAATTGGTCTAACGTTTCAATAGCTTTGACAACTCAAGGCAATTTCCGTGTGCCTTTGAATGCGGACAGTAAGTAAACTGACTTGACTCATTTGTGACTACAAGTGACTATAAAATTTTATATTCAGATATAACTTATAGTCAACTTAATACTATGTGTCCATGGGAAAATAAACTTTACACTTTAACTTTAAGAGGTGATGTTTTGCGGGACTTATTTGAGGATTGTGTTGCTCCAATGAAAACAACACAAAATATTCCACGATCGAGCAGATTCTTACAAGTATCTGGTATTAGAATTATTTATAATATAACGAAGCCGATTGGTTCACGTATCGTAGAAGTAAAGGTTCGATGTCAATATTGTTCATTGCCAGTATATGAAAAACTCGATTTAGAAAAGGATTATCGTTTAGTTGTTATGGAATATTTAGCAAATGGTAAAAATGGATTCAGTTTAATCAGTGATAACGCTAAGGATATGGAGTAAGTTTTTGATTATATTAAATTTATATGAAATTATTGATGATTATTTTAAAATTTTTTGTTTTAGAGACGGTCCCTATGACTTAGAGGCCCTTATGGCTTATATGCTAAGTAATAATCCTATTGTCGCTGGATTAGAAGGGCGAATAAAAATATTAAGATAAAAATTAATAAATTTATAAAGGTTTTATATATTTATATTATATTTAAAACTGTTTTTCAAGCCAGTGTAATAAATGATGTTTTTTATTTTTTATGAAGTTTAAAATAAAATATATTTTTATATAAATATATTAAAAAATAATTTAAAATTGTAGGTAAGGGTAGGTTTTTTTAGAAAGTTCTTAAATTATTTTTTTTAGCTATATTATAAAAGTTTTTTAATTTAGCCCTTATTACAGAATAGTACTGAATTCTTTTCAATATGGTCCATATGATTCCCTTTTTAAATAGTATCTGCCTTAAGCAAATTATTGTTCCAAAACTATGTACTTCAATTATTATTATATATAATGTATTGGTCGGTAGACTGCAATTTTTATATGTGTAATTATACCAATTTATAAGCTGTTTTGTAATACAAAAAATTTGGAAATAAAGCTAGCACAACATCTAATAAATAATATTGCTAATTAAGATTACAATATTTTTTTTATTTTTATAAATATTGGTATCAATCTTAATTGGTTAATTAAATTGGTACTTAATTTATAATTTTTTTTAAATCCATTTATTTTATAACAATCTGTCAAGTATGAATGGACTATGTCGAGTGAAATATCCATATATACTTACATATGAATATACATTATGAATGTGTGACCTACATATTAATTTCTAAGTATTTGTTCTTATAAGCCGAATGATTAAACGTTATATTATATAATAATTCACATTTATTTTTAAGTATCCATCTATTTGGTAACGGTAGTGCTTCAAATATTGAAATTATCCAAAGAGCTCAGTCAAATATACTGAGAACAATCATTCGTGCCACATGGTATATTAGGAATAAAAGTATCCACCGACACAGCGGATTTGAGGGAAACGAAAAAGCAGATGAACTAGCGAGAAAAAGGGCGGCCTCATATTATATTGGGCCACAATCATTCTGTGGTCCTTGGTGGAACTTCTTCAAACTTAAAACTAATGAGTGGCTGGAAAGAGCAGCTCAGACTGATTGGAATAATACAATTGCCTGCTTATGCTGCACAGAAGTGATATCCGACTTGTCACAGGATTCTTAACTGGGCACTGCTGAGATAAAAAGCATTTATCGAATCTAGGTATTACTAGAAACGATAGCTGCAGACTTTGTTGCAAAGAAGAGAAAACAGCAAAACACATTTTGTGTCACTGTGATAGTCTTGCCAGACTCAGACTTCGGTACTTATCCACTGCCTATCCGGATATAACGGAATTAGGCAACATCTCTCCAAAGGACATATTGGCATTCTTAACTGCTACTCGTCTATGAAACTGAAGTGGGTATGTCACAATAATCCTCAAAAGATGCAGTGACGCGGTGACAAGTTTCCAACCCATTTTAAAAATCTAATCTAATACACCGACATCTACAATTTCCCTTAGTTAAAGTTGAATTTGACAATATAAGTAAAAAATACCATAAAAGGCTGATAGCACATATTGATGCTTAGTTAGAAATCTCGCTCTTCTATCCACTATTTCTCACCTAAAAAAAACTGACCCTTCAGCCATTAATTAAAAATCAACAGCTTCAAATAAAAGCCCTACTCTTCTTTTGAGTAATTTGATAAAGTTTAACTACTTTCTTAATATATATATATATAAACTATCTAACATAAACCACCTAAACCATCTAACAATAAAATTTAACCCATACATCTAAGTGAGGTTCGCGATATAATATTTACTTATTTAATTTTATATAATGTATAGTTAAAATAAAAAATTGTAATATAATGTAATTAGTGATAAGATATTTGTTTTTATAAACACATTGATCAACCCTTAAATTAAACACTAATTCATATTCATTTCTAAGTATTTGTTTTTATAAACTCAATAAGTAACCGTTAAATTATTATATCCATTTCATTTAGAAATATTCATTTCTAAGTATTTGTTTTTATAACTTAATAAGTAACCATTAAATTATTTTATTAATTTTTAAAAATCATTTTCAAACTCGCATAAAACGCATATTCACATTCTTTTTATAAAAAAATATTAAATCTTTATTTGTTTTATAAAAAATTTAATAATTGTTTAACATATTTTTAAATTAATTATATTATCACAAAATACAAATATTAAATTTATTGCATAGGAAGACAAATAAATTTTTTAAATTCAACGTTCAGTCCATAATTTCTCACTTTTGCGAACTAATTTGGTAGCACTGTTGTTCTTACGATCCACAAAATGTCAAAAAGCAGCGAATTGACAACAAACCATACACGAATCAGTAGATTTGCAAACGTTGTCGGAGAAAAATGCGCGGCACAAATAAAAACGTGTTAGTGTACACACGGAAAAATATTTTGCATAAATTATAAAAAATGTGTTTTAGAAAACAGTTTCCAAATTTTGAAAATTATCATCGAAAGTGTGTAAATTATTAATACTTTCTAAATGAAATCTATAATAAATTTTTATTTTAATACATAACCAAACAAAAAAAAAATATAGAAAGAGTGAAAAATCCAATAAAAGCGTCCAACAGTAAATGTGAAAACAATAAATTTGTTGTTGGTTTGAGTCGTTTTTGTAGAAAAGAAAATAAATATTATTTATTGAATCAGCTCAGTGTATTAGCAGCTGATTTTAAAATCTAACAATACACTTACTAAAAACATAAAACAGACAAATGGAAAACTACAGAAGTGAGTTGATAATGATAAATTCATACAATTTTTCAAATATTTTCATTGCATACATTTGATAAGAACAAGAGGGTTGGTTGGATGGTTGATTGTATGGTTGGTTGTTCAAGCAGTATGAGTCTGACTCTGACAAATGTGCATGTTAAGTGTTGTATGTAATGTAGGTCACATATTTACAAAATATACCTGCTCTCATATAGTGTGTTTAAATATATATATTTTTGAAATATTTTTAATAAAACATTTTATATTAAAATATTTTATAAATTAATTCTTCACACAAGTCAATTTATCAATTTGACCTTCGACTTTTGTACATAGCAGGCGTCAGACAGTTTTCTATGTTACTTCTTGCGCTTTGCTTACTTTGTGGACGATACGATACGATATAAATTGGGACGTAAAGTAATAAATGCTTATGTTTGTGTGTTGGTTTCGTTTGGTGTGTGGGAAGCTTACTGACAACAAAATATTGTACAACAATAGGAAAGAATACAAATAAAAAGTCAGAATACGAAAAAAAGGATACCGAATGCGAATGTAAATACAATAAACAAAACAAAAACAATTGTTTGGGCGGAATATATAAAATTGTTGCTATTGCTGTTCTGCTGTTTTACTGCTGCTGCTGCTGCTGTTAACTGGGTGGCGGCAATCACGTTCAGTTTCCACAAAGCAGAAAGGTGGCATATACAAAATTTGAAAAAAAAAAATAAAATCAATTAAAACCCTTTATTTTCTTTATTTCTATTTTAATTGTTAATATATATTAATTGGAATATGTTTTAATCAAACATGTTCAATATTGAATGAGGGATTAAGTGTTTGGTGTTGATGAGTTGACGCATATGCGTAGTAAGAATTGGTGAAAAGTCCTCAACATTATTTACTTTACTAAATATAAATAATTCAGACATTTAAAATGTTTTCATTACTTATTGAACTTACTTTCTTGTTGATAAACCCTTTACATACATATGTAGTCGCTGTTGTTTCGAACGTATTGCCTTTATGTACATAGTTTTTGCATTTTCATTGTTGATTATTTTATTTATTTTTGTTTGATTAAAAAATATGTAGTTAAAGCAATAAAGTGTGCGCTATCAAATATTTACACAAATATTTAATTTAAATAAATTATTTTTATATTAAATTTTATTTATTTTTTTTTAAATTCAGAATAGACAATAAATAATATTTAAGAGTAAGTGACTAAATACTATAAAAAGTAATAAAAAAGTATAAAAAGTAATACAAAGAATGTGTGCGAGTTAAGCTAAGTTGATGCTAAACCAAATGGGAGATTTTTTGAGATTTTTTGCACTGCACACATTTAGCCATTTATCAACACGTATCGACACATCACTACATTATCGGCACGACTTAGAATTTTCCTTATTTAGAACGTAACTCAGCCTAACTCGCACACGTCCTAAATACTAATGAAATTTTTGTGGGCTTGCATGGACTGTGCTTAGTAGCATATCCGTCTGTTGAAGTTACAGATTACAGATTAAAGTTTCAGTGGCGTTTGTTTGCGGAGGCGTGTGAACGTTCTACCTTCTGCTATAATTCTAATAAAAAGTTTATTTTTTTAATTTAATTAAAAGAATAATAATGCAATTTAACAATTCAGAAATAACTATAATTAATTATTTCGATTGTTCTATAGCTGCTTTATGATTTATTTCAAGACCACTGATGATGGTTATTTGGCAATACTCGAAACACCTGTATTGTTAGCCAAAAACTCAATTGAAAACTCCATTATTTTTTTATTAATGAAAAAAGTTTTGTTACATTTAAAAAATTTTAATAAAATTCCACTATGGAGAATAAAAAATGAATAATTTTAGAAATTAGAACGTCCAGACACTGGGGCTCTATTCTGTCATCTATTAAAACTGCTGAATTTGGAACTTGAGCAACTAATTTTGAAAAGTTTTCCTTTTCTTAGTTTTTGCGCATTCGTTATTGATCATAAATATGGAACTGAAATCGGGGAATCACTATTTTTTTTACTGTGGCTAGTGCAAACAATAATAACTTAATGAAATGAAGCAAAAGCTATGAGTTGTTGACCAATCTTTCGGTACTACATGATATCGGTATTTCAATAATTAATTGTAAACAACAAATATCACGGATTACTATTTGCAAAACAACAGTTATTCTAATTGTATAGAAAAGAATTAAACAAAAAAAAAAGATTTTTCATAAAAAACAGTCCTAAAATTAGAACACTTCGGAAATGAGAACTAGTCGAAAAAATATAGTGGTTTTAATCTACCGTCTACTGTCTATACATTTGTAATGTAGAAGAGGTGTATTTAAATTAATTTTTTCATTCATAGCACAGAAATTTTAATTATAAAGAAGTTATATATAAAAACTATTTCAATTAGTAACTATTAAAAATGTTTTTCTTTAATGTATTATTGATAAATATTTTAGATTTCAATATATTTTACAATCAAACTATTTGTGAAGTTTATTTTAAAGTTAAAATATTCATTTAAGGAGGGTTTTTGAAACATCTTTATAAATTTTCACAATGGTAATACCTAATTTACATAATTTTTAGCTAATTTTTCCTACTCTAAATTTTGGTAAACATTCGCTGCCATACCGACATAATTACTATTACCTTCAATTTACCATCAATTTACCTGAACTTGCACACGGAGTAATGTTTTATGATTTTTACATAAAAATTAAATTTTAAAAATAAATTATTTTGCTAAATATAATTATAATTTTGTTAAATTATACAAATTTACGTTATTCGTTATTGAAGTACTGTTTATTTAAATTGAAAAACTGCTCTAAATATAACTATTTTCACTTCAAAAGCGCTTCAAACATTACAATGGGGTTACGAAATCCACGTTAAAATATAAGTGGAAAAAAATATTTTCGAAATTTGTAAATATAATTCAAATACAAAATAATATTAATGTGTCTCGATAGTTATGTACACGTATACATATATACACTATTATTTGAAGGGCTCTCCTATTGAATTCTGTCGTATGTGAGTATATTCAACTGTTGATATCAACAGAGCCTATGAATGACACGTAGAAGAGGTGTCACTTCAAAGTGTGAGTGGTAAAATATTGTAACAGATAATCTGTTGTCTTCTATAAAAATCAATGACACTGCAAAAACGCTTGATTTTATAAATGTAACAACCATAATGATTTTATTATATTCCGACTATTTTTGTCCTGCTAAGATCTGTGCAACCAGAAGAAATTTGCATGGTTTTGGTTCAATTCAGTTTAATTGTCATCTTCCTTCGTTTAAAATTGCACATAGTAATGTAGGTGTTATATGTCAATGATATTTCCTGAGACAGTCACGTTTTTGGTCTTTCTTACGTAAAAGATTTTATTCATGTAATCATCATTAACTTAAGTTTTATGTTTTGTATTAAATATATAAGTTTTTTTATTCAAATTGTGATTTTAAATTAGTGTTTAATTTTTCACCGATAAATATTTGATATTGAGGATCCTGTTTGTTGTGAGTGAAAAACATTGAAATTCACAGCTCAAGACTATAACCTACTTTAGAGGTAGGAACAAGAAAAGAATTAATCGTAATAAGTACTTGGATATTATTATTTCATAAATAAAGTGCAAACCTTCGAGATGTAAAAATGTTTTACAGACTAAATTCATGTAAACCAAAAAGTAATTGATAATATATTAGAGGGGATTTTTTAGTAAACTGGATATATGGACTGGGTAATAGCAAGATCGTTAGTCGCAGCTAATCGAAGGAGAGAAATGGTCAGCTTAAGTCTTACCAGGAAAAAACGACAAGAAATTAAAATGATTTATAACATTGATTCTGAAAAGAAATCAAGAGAAGAGCTAGCCAACATGTACGATATTGAAATATGTTCCCTATAATCCCTTCGGTTCAAGTTTCTATCTAAAATGTTGATTACTCCGCACACTGTGCTTTATTTCCGTTATCACTTAATAGGTATTTTTCGTAGCCTATTTATTCTCTCTAGCTGCTTTTTTTGGCCTTAGGTAAGAAGATAACAGTTGCGTAGTTTTGATTATCTTAAATCTTATTTCCTACTGTCAGTAAATGAAATTGTTAGTATATTAAAGAAAATTATCTTGACACATAAAATTAATAAATAAATTTATTTATTTATTTTTTTTTTTCAAATAACCAATTTATACTCCATGTGATCACTTGAAAATGATACGATCAGCACGTATAAAATAAAATCCATATGCCTCAAGTAGGAATATCATTAAATTTAATTGATTTATAAACTGCAGTTAAAAATCAATGTCATTTTTGGCAAAAATCAATATCAATAACCTATTTTTAAACTATTAATTATAATTGTATTGTTATCGTTTAAATGCATGACTATTAATATATATATTTATATATATTTTGTGATAAATTAGACCCATATCAAGTATAGTAAATATTAAAAAAAATTTCATAATTATTTTTGTTAATCTAATACTGTTGAAGAGTAACACAAAATATTTTGCCAAACGTTAAAGTTTCAAGAACTTCACAAGGGACCAGGTTTTAGGGACCAGCCTAACTAAAACTTCACAAGTATTTGTTAAATACAAAGACGTAGAGTAACTCACTCGGTCTATAAAAGTTTCATTGTTTTAAGAGCTGTGAGCAAAGCAACGAGCAATGAAGTCTACGTTCCGCCAGTTTTTATAAGATGTGGATTTAAAAAGGGTGTTAATCTTTTACTAGGAGTTTCACTGATTGACAAAAATCTAAAACTGATCTCAGCAAAAGGACTACATAAGATATTGGTAAATAATTATTGTCAATATGTTTATATGAAGTATTCCAACTTTGCTTTGCAGATATTTTCTTATTATTAATTTTAAAATTTTATTTAGCTTTATTATTCATTAATAAATTGTTTCTCTGTAAGTTTACTGTGATACTTTTTGACGCGTAAGGAATTGCGTCATTTGCCGCTTCAGCAGTCT